TGTGGTACATGTTTATTGATTTATGTTTGGTCCATATCAGATTGTGATCTGCTGTGATTGGACTTTGAGCTTGTGGAATTGGATAGCTAGCTTAGAGGTAAGCTTTCGTGTCCTCGGTTTAGCCATGTTGTGGTTCCACCATGTCCCAAGGGGGTATGGTATATGCATGCTGTGTTACATGCTTTTGATGTTTTGAAAATGCTGTTGAGCTATTGTATGTTAGTGCCTTGTTGATATGCATGGAGGTGTTCCACCTATACGGTAAGCCTGAGTATGTGGTACATACAAGATGGTGAGGCTGTGGGTGAGGTGCAAGCGGTGTTCCTTGTACTACATATAGGGGATAGACGTATTCCTACATTTCTCTGGCAAGTAGATAGTGATTACACACATGCCATAGATATCTGTTGCACTACATAGTTTTGGAACTGATAATGATATAAATGTTTTTAGAACTTATATTGCACATGTAAGTGAGCTTGGGGTGGAAGATCCTTGAGGACCCCTTGTCTTACTGAGATTTCTAGTTTAGAGATCTCACCCCACGTTTGGGAAATGCTTATTTCAGGGTCAGGTAATGTTGAGACCTCAGGCGCCAGGAGGCCGGAGCTGAGTTAGATTGCTGTTATATTATGCTGCCATGTTGGATGTTGGATTTGCATGTTGCTTATGCTTATAGCTTCAGTTTATGTTTATGGAGTTTTATGTTGAGACTTGTTGTTTACTATGTTTATTTGGTGAGCATGGAGATTGTCCATGACACATAGTATTGTTATGTCTTGATTATGTCTTGATTATGTCTTGAGTCTTTTGGAGTTGTAATAATATATCAGGATATTGTCCGGATTACGAGATGTAATACCGTGATTTAGATACACACTTTATCTATATATTGAGGTATTTCAGTAGATGTCTTATTGCAATTTACATACAGGCGTTATTTTATGAAACTGATTAAGTAATCAAGTTGGTAATTGATAATGACGTCATAATGGAAAAGAAAAAAGAATATTCTGCATTTTTAATTAAGCACCGCTTAATACGATGCAATGTTAATATTCCGAGTATACACGAGGTGTTACACCTGTCACCCTTAGGATGACTTTACGAGAATGAGGGAAGAAAGAGACAGTCAGGTCACTCCAGGAGAGAATCCTAGTAGTGCAGTCTCGGATAATGAATTAATCTTGCAGGCGGCTGGTGGGGTTAGCCGTAAAGGCTGGGTCTTTGGTTTAGGTACACGGCCAGGAGCATATAAGCAATCTTGGTTCTCCAGCAGACTACCACTTGGAGTGTCCCAGGATGAGCATGACAGGATGCGCGCATTGATTATGCATGTCCCTTTTGATTAGTATATATATCTTGGACATTAATAGATGTTGGACTCTTTTGATTAGTATATGACAGGGACTTTTGTATATGCATGTCCCTCTTGATTAAATCCGTTTCCAACAAAGAGATACACCACAGATTCATTTCCGTCGATAATTCCGTCGAAAAAAAGCAGTTTTTAGTAGTGCAATATAATCTTATTTTTAAAATATATATAATACAAAGCTATTTATGATGAGTTTCGGAAAAATTTTTTACTTTTTATACACATAAAATTTATTTTTTACGACATGAAAAACATTAAATTCATTTATGATTTTTGGACTTTGTTATTTAAGTATGTTTACATTTTTGTTATATATTTTTGGGGAAAAAGTTTATGATGTTACTTTAGACAACTTTGTCTAATGTTCATCGAAACGACGTCGTTTTGAGGTTGAAAAATTAAAAATTAGAATGATAAAGACTATTATAACCCTGAAATAAATTAAAATTACAAAAACACCATGATTTCCGTCCCAAATCGACGTCGTTTCGATGAACATTAGATAAAGTTATCTAAAATAACTTTAGAAAAAACAAACCCTATATTTTTTTAGTTTAAAAAAAAAATAAGGTATACAAATTATTAAAATGTACGTATTTATTAGGTTATTGTTTTTAAAAGCATAAGCATATTACAATAAAATTGTATAAATAGCATCAATAAGCTATTAGGATTGATCTAATGACAAGATGTTTGAATAGTTTTTATTATGCTATGTGTTTAATTTCGATGATTTAATAATTGGCCAGTTGGCAATTAATATCAAGCAATATGAATGCAGTCACATCTAATTTTTTATTATTTTAATTTAATTCAATGATTTTTGTTTAATTAAATTATCATTTATTAAGTTTATTTATTTATTTATTAGAAACACTTGCCATGAACCTAGGACGGAGAATTAAACATGACATAACAAACTTTCCTACACGCACAATATTTTCTGGGGTCCATATTTTTTGAAGAAAAAATAAAAAAGAAAAATTACGGCACGCAAAACAAATCTCTATAACATTACACAATCACTTTTCTTACAACATAACTCTTATAAAACCCTTTAGCATATTATCCTTTTTACATAAACTTTACATAATTTTCATTTCTGTATCGGGATTGAATTGAATCACTTTTATATATAAATACACTCTACAGTCTACACGTAACTCAAATTATATGTCTTATTTTTCCCTCTCCATACAGCTATTCAAAAAAATAAAAAAATGCTCAAAAAATAGTTTATAGATGTGATTTTTTTTTTTAATTTAATTATCAATGGTTTCTTCAAAAGACCGAAAATTGTGATATAAAATTTGAAATTTTATGTATGCATTTACTGGCCAATTACTGATATATAAAACTAGAGTGAAAATGCGAGCTAATTATTTTTCTTTCCTTAAAATGGACGTTGAACCATCGTGTTTTTTTTTTTTAAATATACCATCGTGTTTAATACTGAACAAAGGTTAGACAAACTCATCAAAGCTTATAACATTATTACTTTCAACTTAATTTTTTCTGCCTTTTTTAACTTATTAAAACTTATAAGGTTGATTACTTTTAACTTAATTTGATCTAACTATTTATTGTACGAACTAAACTTAAGTTCTTTTTTTGAAAAAAAAAATTATATTACTAAATAACTCAAGTTTAAGCCTTTTAAAAAATAAAAGGTTTAATGTTCCTCGTGCAAGGAGAGTGGACGGTACATTATTCTCTTTCTTTTTCTTACATAATTCTCCCGCTCTCACAAGTCTCTAAAAAATAATTTTGTCTCTAACTTGGAAAAAACACATTAAACCGTTTAATAAATACAATGTAGAGGAGTATATTTACATGTCTTTATTATATTGGAACAAATATTTGATATCCATGAATGTGTATTATGAAAATAATAACAATATAATGAGAAGTACTCCATGAAATTTTATGGTTGACGAGGATGTAAAGAATATCTATTTAAATGTGTATTTTTTAACATTTCTGAAAGGGGCATATATAATATATCTCCTCAATTATTCAAAAGAAATTTTGTCTCTACTTGATAAACGTGGGAAGGGGCCAAGTTGTAGATCCCCATCGTGTGAGGACGTTTGGATGGCTTCTTTTTGTTGAGATATTCAAGTATGATGAGTCTTACATTGGTTGGTAGTGAGCTAAGTAAAGAGTATATAAGTGGAAGGACCCATGAACCCAATGCCTTAAGGTTTTGGGTTGAGATATGGTGTCGGATCCACTTGGTGTACTTGGAGTAACCTGGCTCATTGGGGTCCCCCGCCACGAGAGGTTCCCCTGGACCTGTCTGACTCTGGTATCAGAGTCGGGTTGTGCTCGAGCTAGCCTGGTGATTGGGTAGGAGACAGGTTGAGTACTTGGGCCGGGAGTACTCAGTTGAGGGGGAGCATATCAATGTTGGGTTTCACACTTGAGGGGAGATTGTTGAGATAGTCAAGTGTGATGAGTCTCACATTGATTGGTAATGAGCTAAGTAAAAAATATATAAGTGGAAGGACTCATAAACGCAATGCCTTAAGATTTTTCAACATTTTTTATGTATATTTTGTGAACATTAAATAAAGTTATCTAAACTAATTTTAGTACTTTAAACCCATAATATTATTCACAATATTAAGTGATATAAAAACTGACCATTACAAACTATTCACTTCGAGATAATGGATCGGTAAGTTGATTTATGGTAAAAGGAGAATTGATTGGATATGATATGAATGGGAGTGGATTATGTAAAATATTTGTACTTATATCTTTCTTAAAATCTATTAAATATATGGATCCATTAAACCGATTCTTCCTCGTTCGTCCGAGGTGGCAGGTGGGTATTAGTCAAGTGTAGGGGTATAAATAGGTTAGGTTTTGACTTAAATAACCTAGACTTATGTAAAATATTTTGGGTCTGGTCTGGCCTGTTAGCCTTATATATGCCAAAATTATAAGTTTGGTCTGACCTATATTTAAAAAATAGAAGCATTGACCTAGACATGTTAGTCTGTTTAAACTTATTAAACATCTAATAATTAAAAAAATAATTAAAATAATATTATTTTATTATTTAAAATTATTAAAATAATCATTTTATTTATTTTATTTAAAATAATAATTTTATTTATTTTATTTAAAATAATAATTTTATTTATTTTATTTAAAATAATAATTTTATTTATTTTATTTAAAATAAATAACATGATATAGACTGGTCTGTAAGTTTATAGGCCCAACATGTAAAAAAAAGCATATCGTCTGTTTTCTAAATAATTTTTTTTAAAAATCTAGGCCTATTTTATTTGAGGGTTCCTGTCAAAACAATGGTGTCATATTATGAATATTTATGCATGTTTATTTTTCCTCAACTTGGGTAATTATATACATAAATGAGGACTCTAGGTCTATTACAAATTAGCTGTCAATCAGCTATGAATAAGGAAATGAAATAACCTGTTACTATTTCTATTTAATACAAAATCCTATGATTATGTCAATCAACTGCAAATAAGAAAATTAATTTATTTAATACAAATCTCCTATGATTATGTAATTGTGTAATCAATGATTAAAATTCCAACAACTGTACAACTCAGCAAATATTGTCTCATTTCAACACTCCCCCTCAAGTTGGTGCATAGATATCTATCATGCCCAACTTGTTAATTGCTTCTTCAAACACTTTTCCTGATACAGCCTTTGTCAAGATGTCGGCTAACTGATCTTCAGATTTGATATATGGAAATTGAATAATTTTTTGATCTAGCTTTTCCTTGATAAAGTGTCTATCCACTTCTACATGCTTGGTGCTATCATGTTGAACAGGATTATGGACAATTTCAATAGCAGTTTTACTATCACAATGTAACTCCATAGGCTGATTGTAGCAGATTCCTAAGTCTTGTAGGATGCTCTTAATCCACAATAATTCACACACTCCATGTGCCATTCCTCTAAACTCTGCTTCTGCACTCGATCTAGCCACAACTTTCTGCTTCTTACTCTTCCAAGTAACTAGATTGTCTTCAACAAAAGTAAAATATCCCGAAGTTGACTGTCTGGTAGTTTTATCTCCAGCCCAATCTGAATCTGTGTAGCCTTTAATTTCGGGACTATTATTTTTTGAGTAAAGCATACCTTTCCCTGGGCACCCTTTTAAATACCTCAATATTCGATACACAGCAGCCATGTGATCCTCACTTGGGTTGTGCATAAATCTGCTCACAACACTAACTGCATAAGCAATGTCTGACCTAGTATGTGATAAATAAATTAGCCTCCCTACTAGCCTTTGATATCTGCCAACAGCAGTCTATACTTGATCAAGATAAAAACCCAATACATGATTCATTTCAATTGGTGTTTCTACTAGTTTACATGCTGTCATTCCTGTTTTTGCAAGTAGATCTAAAATGTACTTTTTTGTGACAAAAAAATCCCCTGATTTGATCTAGCAATTTCAATTCCAAGAAAGTACTTTAATGATCCTAGATCTTTTATTTCAAACTCATTTGCTAAATGTCTTTCCAATAACTCCATTTCAAATAAATCATCACCTGTCAAAACCATATCATCAACATACATTATTAACAGTGTTACCTTTCCTCCATTATGTTTTATGAATATGGTGTGGTCTGCATTATTTTGTTTGTATCCAAACTTCTTCATGACTAGAAGGAACCTGCCAAACCAAGCTCTAGGTGATTGCTTGAGGCCGTATAGTGCTTTTTTTAATCTACACACTTCATTTCCCTTCAAGTTGGCATGTTTGGCGCCTGGTGGAATTTCAATATATACTTCTTCTTCTAAGTCTCCATTTAAAAATGCATTTTTTACATTGCTTGAGTGGCCAGTCCCTGTTAGCTGCTATAGAAATCAGAATACGAATTGTGTTCAATTTTGCTACTGGTGCAAATGTATCTTGGTAATCAACCCCATATTTTTGTGTGTATCCCTTAGCAACTAATCTGGCTTTATATCTGTCAAGGTTGCCATCTGCTTTAAGCTTCATAGTAAACACCCATTTTCATCCAATTGGTTTCTTCCCGGTTGGTAAAGGAACCAGGTCTCACGTTGAGTTTTTTTGTAAGGCCTTCATTTCTACATTCATGGCTTCCTTCCTATTTGGATCATCCAAAGCATCCTGCACATTGTTAGGAACAAATATACTAGACAATTAATTAACAAATGCAATATATGATTCTGACAACCTATGATTGGACATGTAGTTATCGATAGAGTATTTGACCTTAGAGTTTGGATCTGATTCATAAAGCTGTTTTGGTACACCTTTATTTGGTCTTTGTGACACTCTAACAGGTAAGATGAGACCATCTATGCTAGTAATAGAAGGTCCATTTGAAGACATAGGAGTAGGATTAGTGTTTACCTCAGGTATGGATTCAGGAACATCCAGGGACGATGCCTCAGTTATAGGTGTTAGACGCGTAGCAAAATCATTCGTGGGAAAGGTAACATCTGGTCCAGGAGTGTGTTGAAGAGTTATAATTTCTTCTTCAGTAGTAGGTATCTCCCCCTGAGAAGAATTAACAGAATCTCCCCCTGAATAATATGGTTCCAATTCTTGAAAAGACACGTCCATGCTGACATGCATTTTGTGGAGAACGGGATCATAACACCTGTAACCTTTTTGTACATTAGAGTAACCCACAAATACACATTTTTTAGCACAAGGATCCAATTTTTTTCGTAATACCTTGGGGATATGGACATACACCGTGCACCCAAAAACACGAGGCTCAAGGTTGGAAATGTGAGGAATGGAGAAATAAGATTCCAGAGTCTGTTGTGGAGTTTTAAAGTGAAGGGCGCTGGATGGAGTACGATTGATGAGATAGGCAGCAGACACAACAGCTTCTCCCCAATATGTTTTAGGCAAATTCATACTAAAAGGGAGGCACGAGCCACTTCTAGTAGTTGTCTATTTTTTCGTTCAGCTAGGCCGTTCTGTTGGGGTGTATAAGGGCAAGAGGTTTGGTGTCGGATCCCATGTGTGCTCAAGAAATCAATAAAGCGGCCATCTAAATATTCCCTGCCATTATCAGATTGTAGAATTTCAACCTTAGACTGATATTTGGTTTGGACCATACTGTAAAATTTTTTGAAGGCATCAAAGACATCACTTTTGTGTCTTAACAGTGACAACCAAGTCATCCGGGTACAAGATTCAATAAAAGTCACATAATAGTAAGCTTTTGAGAAAGAAGGCACCTTTGCAGGGCCCCAAACATCGGAATGAACAACTTGAAATGGAATAGAACTTTTATTAGTACTAGGAAAATAAGGAACTCTGTGACTCTTGGCCAATTCACAAGTGCTGTATTTGAAATCAGCATTATTCAAATGGGAAAACAATCGAGGAAATAACTTTTTCAGATAACTAAAGGAAAGGTGACAAAGTCTTCGATGGCAAAGCCAAATGGTAGCACGGGTTTGTTCTGGACCGGTTGTTGCACATGTAGTAGCCAAAGAAGGATGGCTAGGATCAAGGACCTCCAAGAAGTAAAGTTGGCCACATCTAACACCATAACCAAGAGTAGTCCGAGTGGGAATGTCCTGAAAAACACAATGAGAGGGAAAAAAAGTTACTGAACAGTTAAGCTTTGAAGTTAATTGGCTCACAGAGAGTAAGTTGTATTCAAGAGAGGGTACAACCAACACAGAGTCTATAAATAAGCTATCAGAAAGGGTTAAGGATCCTTGACCAGTAATTTTTTAGGTACCCCCATTGGCAGTTATAATAACGGATTGTGAAGAATTACAGAGATTGAACAACTGGGAAGAATCTTTAATCATATGATCAGAAGTACCAGTATCAATTATCCAAATATTATTCCTAGACAATGTATAGAAAGCAAGAGACTTACCCAAAATACCGGATTGAGTAAAATTGGCGAATTGAACAATACGATGTGGAAGGTTTAATGAAATTAGGTTCCTGGATCAGAAATGCTCTGATACCATGTCAAAAAAATGGTGCCATATTATGAATATTTATGCATGTTTATTTTTCCTCTACTGGGGTAATTATATACATGAATGAGGGCTCTAGGTCTATTACAAATTAGCTGTCAATCAGCTATGAATAAGGAAATGAAATAACCTGTTACTATTTCTATTTAATACAAAACTCCTATGATTATGTCAATCAACTACAAATAAGAAAATTAATTTATTTAATACAAATCTCCTATTATTATGTAATTGTGTAGTCAATGATTAAAAATCCAACAACTGTACAACTCAGCAAATATTGTCTCATTTCAACAGTTCCGATTTTCTTATGCGATAAGAGAAAATTTTCTCATGTTGTAGACACATCTTATGTGGAGCCCACATCTATTAAAAAAAACAAAAAAAATATTGCACGAAAATCGAAAGTCACTAATAAAAAAAACAACTCTCCTACGACATGAGAAAATATTTTTTCTTACATTTAATAAACTAAACTTAAATTGATATAGGCTAAGTCATAGGCTCAGATAACCCATTTATATCCTAGTCAAGTGTTCACATTTAGTGTATTCAGATAAAGTGATGGAAGAGGCATTGAATGCAAATAGACAAAGTTCCAGTAATTGCATAATATTTTAAAAGAGAGAGTTATCTTTATAATTTTTTTTTACAAACTCTCACAAATTTAATTATATATTTTGATGAATACAAATGTTTAAATATATACTTCTCATAATACATATTTAAAGTTATAAGAATTTAATAGAACTATGAAACTTGCAGATCGATCAACACGCCTTTTTAATCATCTCTAAATAATGAATGATATATACAATATTGAATACAAATCATAACTCTAACCGATGTTAAGAAAATAACATATATCATTAAATAACTATATCATAGATACAAGCAATGCATTAAATTATTTTTTGTCAAATGCGCTAAATTTGTTTTGCTAACACTAGAAGGTAGCGTGTAAATGAATAAATAAGATAAGATACATAGAGAGGAAAGAAGAAAAAAAGATATAAAAAGAAAAGAAAATATTTGGTTTGGTTGATAAACTGATTTTAAGTTCAAAACCTAGTTTTTAAAAATACTTCGGTTCAAGAATTAATTATTAAAATTTATTTTTTTTAAATTAATTTTTTAAGTATAGTATTTTTTGTGATTCTTTTGCACATCCCTAAAATTGGTTTTTGAATCAGTTATGAATCCAACTGAAAAGTATAAAGAACAAATTAAAAATATAAATAATATCATAAATTAAAAAAAACAATAAACAATTGAAAATATATAATAAAGTAAAAATAAGAGGAAAAAAACAAGAGAAAAAAAGAAAAGAAAAGAAAAATAAGAAAAAACTAAAGGAATAATGTAATAAAAATAAAAATAAAAGAAGGAAAAAAAAGACAAAGAAAAAAGAGAGAGGAAAAACAACCAATTCAATTCATGTTTATTTAATTCAGTTCGATTCAAAAATCAGTTCAGTTTCCAAATTGATTTTTCAAAAATAATTCATTTCAAGAACTAATTTTTAAAAAGCAATTCATTTTAATAATTAATTTTTAAAAACCAATTTTATTTAAGTACAGCTCAATTTAAATTTTCTTTTTTACACACCTCTAATAATATTTTAGGGTAATATGTTGTTATGTAATAAGAAAATAAAAAATTTTCCTACACACACATGAATCGGGAGAGAGAAACAAGTTTTAATGGACTCCACATCAATTCTTGTGTGTGCAGGAAAAAATTTTGTTTCCATGTTACATAACAGATTACCCAATATTCTATCAAGACAAATGACATTGGCAATAACAAAATTGCTAGACGCGTAACTCTGCACCTCTATAGTTGATAAAAGATGTATAAGTACGAGAGAGTTAGATTTCCTTTTCAATTCTCAATATACGGATAAAATCTATAAATTGTTAGAGAATAATAAAAATCATTGAAAAGGCTATCATCCTACGATTTAAGCTTTTAGGTTCAATTAGTATTTTACATTGTATCAGTGATCAAGCAATCACGAGTTCGATCTTCAGCACCTCTATTATATTAATAAAAATAATTAGATATTGTGAATTTTTTAGTACATGTATATGAGCATGTCCATTATCCACCCTTCAAGCTCAGTGAGCTCTTGTGTGAGAGAGCATGTTTAAAATATATAAAATGATTAATATAATGTTACCCATCAGCTTAAGCTTTTGGGGTGAATTGATTCACGAGTTCAATTCTTATCGCCTCCTATTTAATTCATAATTAATTAAGTCTTATGAAGTTTCTTTATACAGATAGGTGGGCATGTGTATTGTCTATTCTTCAACACCAATGAGCTCTTGTGTGAACTAGAGAAGTATGAAATCATTAATGTAGTTTCACGTAACAGCTTAAACTTTTGGTAAACCAAAAAATGGACTTATACAATATCCATGCTAGAGGATGTGTTAAAGATATATAAATGTAAGAGTGTACGTCAGCTGGTCCAAATAAATTCAAACCGCGATGACCAAACCTAAAAATCGATAATCGAATTATCCAAAAAAAAAAAAAAACCCGCATATTTTAATTGGATTGGATTGATTTTCGGTTTGATTGGTAAAAACTGGTACAATTCAAATCGATCCAATGTATTATGTATTTATTATTTTTAAAAGATAGTGATTTGGAATCTTGAATGTTACTGGTAGCAAACAATTTTTATTAGTTTTTGTTATCTATTAATCTATTTTAACACTTCATAAGTTTTAAGACTTGTTTTAGTTTGAAGACTTGAATTTTCTAGTGATTTGTAACTTTGAATGACTTTATTATGATATAGCTAATGCTTTGTATGGTTGAAATTTTAAGCTTTTCAAGAAAGCGATCAAATCCAAACCGAATAAAATTGAATTGGATTGGATCGAAATTTAAAAAAATCCAAATCGAATGAATAATTAAATGATCAAACCGAAGAAATTGAATCAAATAATTTTTACTTCAAAATCGATCCAATTCAGACCACCCCTATATAAAAGAGTTTGATGTTTCTCTGGGAGATAAAATTATCCTTTATACACACATAAAAGTGTGTGGGGTCCATATGAGGTCATGTGAAGATAAGAAATAGAAAAAGAAAATATCGGGCCCACATATTTTTATGTGAGTGTATGAAAAAAAATTATCTTATATAACATGAGATACATTAAATCCTATATAAAATTATTAATATAATTTTACCCCACGCCTTATGTTTTTGACTTTCTCATCCCCGCAGACCAACTGGGCAAGTCTTGTCTTCCCAATTCCTGCGACCCCCACAATTGTAACAGAAGTTTTGGTCCGGAGCAAAATAAGTTGATCTATGGTTTCCTTCTTTTCTTTTTCTCTCCCAACTTCTAATCTTATCTCAAATTCTGGGTCCAAGTTTGCCAACTTTCTCCCCTTCTTCGCTGCTTCTTCAGACAGAGGCAAGTCTTTTTCCTCTTTTGCAATCCCATCGAGATCATCCATGACTTGCTTTAATTTTTTTGTAAGTTCATGTTGTCGATTCCTGCTAGGGTTTGATTTAAAGAGAGTATAGGATCTACTCTCCTGACGCGAGTAAATGGCAGAGAGTTCGTTCACCAAGTCGTTGAAATCGTTGAGCACAGCCTTAAGCTGTCGCAGCCAAAGCAGAACCTTATGCGTGGTTCTGTTTTTCTCTTTGGACAACGCCTTGGATCCCTGTAAGGAGATTTTGAAGCTGTTGCCTGTCTATCCCATGACTTACGGGCATCTCTTTGAGTGTTTCATCAATAGTATTAGAGCTGGTAAAATGGGCCGAGCCCGCCTCGCCCGCCAAACGGGGCGGGACGGGCTGAGATATCTAACCCACCTTCAATAACGAGGCGGGACGGGCCAGCCCACTTTTTGACGGGCCGGGGCGGGCAGCCCGCTTTGCCACCTCTAAATAGTATCACCAAGAATAATATCTAAATCCATTGATATGAAGCGATGGATGGGACAAAAGGATGACGTGTAAAAAAACTGATGATGCAATCAACACAACGACAACAGCAGGTGAGGTGAGCGGAAATATTTATTACGGTCCAGGATCATCTAATGATTTGAGGTTCCCTCTCACATCATCAATTTTTTCTTTTCTTTTTTATTTCTATTTTTTTCTTTTTTAATTTTATCCTTTCATTTACACTAAGGGACCATCTAATGAATAGTGATCCCGAACCACAATAAATAATCTCGAGGTGAGCAGTGTATGCAGTTGAAGTGAGTTGGAAATATTTAATATGGTCCAGGACCACTGAATTTTTTGGTATTCTCTCTCACATCATTAATTTTTTCTTTTCTTTTTTATTTCTGTTATTTTCTTCTTTTTTTTGATTTTACCTTCCTATTTATACTAAGGGACCACTAAAAAATGATGATCCCGATTCACTCTAAATAATCTCCAGTTAGTTTATATTATAACAAGAAGGGAAGGGTTGTTTACCTCTGTTCACATTTTAGGTTGGATCGATTTTAAAATAAAACTTATTTAATTCAACATTAATCATTCATTTGATTTAAATTTTTTTAATCCAACGATCACAAAATTAGTAATAAAAAGTGGTAAGAAAAAATGATATAAATATAACATCTCTTAAAAAATAAAAGTTATTTTAAATTTTTTATATTTCTCTTGTATCATGAATAAAATACAATTTAGTTTTGATCTTAAATCCTAAAATGATATCATTTTTAAATTGAAAGAGATAAATTTTTTTTATAACATAAAAAATATTAATTCTTTTATTTTTATTATTTTTACATTAATAGATTAGAACAAAAAGAGTTAATTAAGCCCACGTTATCATCTAATAAAAAAAAGAAAAAATTATTCTCATGTTGAACCCGACATTTGTTTAGCTTTCAGACAATAAGAAGAGAATTCAAACCCATATGAGATACTTTTTCTACAATTAGATGCTGCAAATTCAAAAGACAAACCAACTACACCACATATTAGAGAGGTCAGGGCAGAAAGACAACGAAAGAAACTTGGAACCTGATTAGTAAAAAAATCACACAAATTCACGTCAGGATTTCTTCACAGATTCTGCGCCAAACTGATAAATGACTGTTATTTGAATTTAATTGGCCCCCACCTATATTTATTTATTTATTTTAAGTTAAGTTGGAGCTAAATAAATTCAGATACATTAGTTTGCGTAGAGTTTATAAAAAAATTACAATGGTTATGAGAGGTTCATTTTGATTTTAGCAACTGTGCATACTGATGAGTGCCACCGGAATATCCTTCTTACACTCTTCGCTACAAACGAAAATTTATATTAAAAAAAATAAACAATAAGCAAATACCAAAGACTGAAGTGAAAGATGTGATATGAATTAATGTGAATCCATTGATGAGAACCTTGGGGCTTGTTTAAGGGAACAATGAAAGAAGACAATGGCGAAAATGTGAGGAAAACACAGAACATTTTTGTTTAAGGGAACCTTGGGGCTGAGAAGATAGACGAGAAAGATGAGAGGGAAATGATGCAATCGAGTGAGTGCGATGAGTTGTGAGAGGGAGAAAGTGTAATAGGACTCTGAAAATTAAACAATCTGAGGCGGTTTAATTGAATCACCACTATTAAACCGACGTGAAAAACCGGTTTTGTTGTAGTGAGTTTTTTTCTTATACAAATTTTGATAACTGTATCATATATGAGATAACTTAATTTCTTTCATATCAGATTAATAAAACTCATTAAAAAAACTAAAATAACATAAATCTGGTGGATAGCCGCATGCAGGGTACAATCGGGGAAGGCCAACACCCTCTGACAATCTGACCTTGTGAATCGCTTCACGATTAAGGCCAGGTGTTCGTGTGACGTGCCGGTTCTTTATATATTATATATAATTATTTATAAAATAATATTATTCACAGTATTATGTGATATAAAAAATGACCATTACACTAATATGTGATATAAAAAAGGATAATAGTCTGTCATGTAATATGACACCATTTGTGTCATGTTACAGACACAAAAACTGCGGGATCTATTATATAGTAAAAAAGCAAAAAAAGTTGAAGTGGGTTTCATGCTATATTGAGTGTGTAAGAATGTGAAGATTTTTCGTGTAATATAATACTTGTATTTCCTTATAAAAAATGACCATTTCACATAGGTCATCGGTTTAAGATAATTTGTCATCGAGTTACGTCGGTACCAGTGATAAGATTTGACCTATTGGACATTATTTTTTGTTCTTTTATTTTTCAAAATTAAAATCGTAAAAATTAAATTTATGTCCAAAATAAATAAACAATAATTTATATATATTTTATGTAATTTAAAAAGAATTAAGAATTTAATCTATTTAAATATAAATATAAATAAACATTGACTTTTAAATTTAGTAAAGAAACTTTACTGGTTATTTTTTCTTTTCTGAACCATGTTCATAAACGGTACTTAAAATGCTCCCGTGATTTCCACAATATCTTGTTACAATTTGCAAGAGCGCTTTATTTTTTTTCCTGGTTATTTTCAGGATATAGCTAGATATAAAAATAATAAACATTATTATCTATATATGGACTGTCTTTATAAATAGATTACTTGATTCTTATTCCTGATCACGGAGCCAAAGTTTATGCGGATCTCTGTAACAGTGTAGAATGTGCCCAGGGACTTTATACAATTTTAATTTCCAAGTTTAGTCTCGTTAGAGAACTGCATATTACTTCCTCCCTGTCTTACGTCTTACTTCTGAACCAACCCAAATTGAATACCCACAATTGAATGCTCCACCATAAAGTTTTGAGTGGATCTTAATTACCAGTCCACAAATTGAAGGCCTAGGAGACAAAATCAGAAAGATGTGTTTGGCTCATTAATTTTGTATATTTCAGATCGTGAGCCAGTAATGGAAGCTAAAAGTGTTGCATCCAACGGAATAGTTCACGAAGTACTCACAAAAGACAACTACAAAAGATGGAAGACTCTTATGAAAAACTATCTGCTGGGGCAGGATCTCTGGGTCGTGGTCGAGAATGCTTCTGAAGTTGCGGATGAGGTTTCGAGGAGGATGAACAATGCGAAGGCATTGCATATCATTCAACTATCATGTGGACCAGGGATTCTTGATGAGATTAGTCATTTTGAAACAGCCAAAGAAGCCTGGAATTACTTGAGCGCGCAATACGGCAAAGAGTTAAAAGCTAAGCGAGACACTGAGCAAGGTATAGCAACATATAATATAAGGCTTTGCATATCATTCAAGTATCATATGAAAGAACAAGAGATTCTTGACTAAATTACTTATTTTGAAACAGCCAAAGAAGCCTGGGTTCACTTGAGCGCGCGATACGGCAGAGAGTTAAAAGCCACCCCCGATATTGAGCAAGGTACGTTGCATCAACCTGTATTTTGCTCTATAATCTTCCTAATCGTAATTCCTTTAATTTTGTTAGTGATTTTCCTATCGTCTATTATTTTTATTTCTAAAGGATGTTAATGATTACGACAAACTGTTATACGTGGAAAAACATTGTAAATGAAGAATATATCAGAAGAATTGTCAAACAATCCTTTTTCTCTCAGTTTCCCCCCAATTTCCTCTCTGACCCCAAATTCCCTATCCATGATTCCCGATCGGATTTATCTTCTCTCTGCAAATCTTTTACTTCTTCTCCTCCTTATTTTAACACGTCTTCTCTCTCAGTCTCTCTTCCAAATACTGTCCTTCTCTCTGTTCTCCCCCTTTTTCTTACATCTAGAATATTTTCTCCAACATACGTTTTTAAATGCTCACTACCCTGTTGGAATCGCACAGAGAGAAGATAAACTCTACTAGTTTAGGACGAGCAGCTTATAATAACAAATAATTGGTCAAGGGCCTTTTCCATTCGAGGTTTTTACTTCTTTTAACATTATCCATTTGAAAAATATTATGGCATACGATCGATGTTAATATGTTATTAGTGTTACGAACTCATACTTGCAGTAGGTGAAACTCTGGATAAAGTCGTACAATCTCTTATCGTCCCAGGAGGAGATGGTGTTCGATTCTCTACCACGGGCTCTTCCTCCAATATAGCAGAACTTGACGCTTCTTCTTGTCTTTTTTACATTGCAAGTTTTCTATTTCTTTTTACGATCTTCTCTCTCTTTTGGATCAAATTACAAAAAATTGATGTCAATGGTATTTCGCATAAATCAAAAAATAGAATAATTAAGTAAAATAAAAACTAAATCAAAATAGTAAAAACAAAATTAAATAATAGAAAATAAAGGTCCAGTCTAAAGTGTCTATAGCTACTACTAATGTTGAAATAAATTAATCTCCGACAACGGCACCAAAAATTTGTCGCGAACTTGGCAAGTGAACTAGTGATACAAGTAATAAATTGTATGAGTAAGAGATTGTTCTCATGAGAATTAGATTTCAACCACTGATTTATTATTTATGCTTAAGTTGAATAATTGATCAAGAAAAATTTATGAAAACTAAACTAAATAACAATGCAAGAAGGTAAAATTTGAGTTACTTTACAATCAAGAAATGCATGTAGGGTTTTGATTTTTCTGAATCTCTCATTTATGTTATGAATTAAAACCTTTAATTAAACATTCTTTTCATATCGCTAATCGATTCCCCTAAGTCAATTAAGACTCAATCCTTTAATATCTTAATTCTTTACTCTCTTTAAAGAATCATAGTTTCTCGATTGTTCTTCAAATAAAATAAGCATTAAATCCAAGAATCATAAAGATTGAACTATTCTTATGTCTATCCCTAGATCATAAGAATTAACGTCCAATTTTCAATGCATGACTCATGTACCAAAATCCCTATTATCATACATTCGCCCTAGATTAATCTACAAGATCAAACTCATAGAAGGCATGAAGAAAAGATAAATTCATTCAATATAAAAAGAAAATTCAATATTAAAGATTATTCATAACAAAAAGATTTGATTGAGTTTCATCTAACTCTAACTACAAAAAAATAGCTTAACATAGTAGAATTAAGAAAACAAGGAAGCTTTCTCAAACTTTATTGGTGTGATAACGCGGTAAATCTTCAAGGTTTCCAGTTGTAATCTTGACTCCAACTTGTCTTCGGCTATCAAGAGCATGAAGAATGCGCTTCCCCGATGAAATCTATGACTCTGGTGCCAAGTTATGTCAAAGACTCGTGAAGAATAACTTAAATAGGTATAGGAATCCTTGTTATAGGTGAAATCCACGTAATTGACCTTAATTGGGTTGCAACTAGGCGCTAAAGATCCATTGAGCGCGCTAAAACGCGCTATTGTGATAACGAAAACATGATTTCGTATTTTGAGTATAACTTGAGCTATACTTGTTCAATTGATGTGATTTTGGTCTCGTTGGAAAGATAAAAGAAAGATCTACAACTTTGTAAAGAACATAAGATCCAAATGCATCATATTGGACACGAAAAATTAACTGGAAGACAACTTCAGGGAGATTTTCACTAAATCGTTGTTTCTCATTTATTGCTTTAAGTCATTCTAGCTTAACCATTGCTCCAATGCTCCAATTCAACTCAAGTATTCTTCTAGAAAACAAGAAAAAATCATTCACATAAGTCAATAATTCAAAGTTAATGCTTTTTAGCCAAATAACTTTAGGTTTTTATGCTTTTGATTAGATTTTAGTACTTTAAAACATGATAAACTATGAGTTTATCGGTTGCCTTCATTAATTAGCAATTATTATGTTGTACGTGTAGTTACATTTACATAAGTTTAAAACAAGATGAATTCAAATGAGACTTCTTGAAATCAACTAGATGTCTCTTTCACTATCGTATATATGTTTTTTCTGTTTCCTCTCCAAATAATTTTTTTTAAGTGTAAATGGCAGGTTTGTTAATGGACGATAGTCTTCGTGAGTGTAAAGAGCTACACAGGCAAGTGGAGGGAGGCAATTGGGATGCTGCATATTTATCCATATCTGAAGACAGGGAGGCCATATTCTCAGCCTCGGCTTCAGGTAGGACGGTTCTTCACGTTGCAGTAATTGCTGGGCATGTGAAAATTGTTGACAAGTTAGTCAAATTGGGGAAAGACAAATTAGTAGAAATGAAAGACAAAGAGGGTTACACAGCTCTTGCTCTTGCTGCTCATTATACTGGAAACACCAAGATAGCAAAGTGCATGGTTGAGAAGGAAGGTGGGGTCCGCGAGGACCTGCTAGCCATGGAGAACAAACACCGTGAAATCCCTGTTCTTCTTGCGGCTGCTAACGGACACAAAGAAATGACTCGCTATCTTTACTCCAAAACTCCCCGGGAAGTATTGGACGGAGAAGATTCCCGCAATCGACTGTTGCTGTTGTCACGATGTATCACTGCGGACATATTCGGTAAGTACACTTCAGATCTCTGCTTAATTTAAGTTCGGTTCATGGGTTGGGTAAGGGTTGGGCTTAAACAAATTTCATTGTCCAAAAAGTAGTTGAGAACGAACTTGCATCTAGATTCGCGTGAAAATACACGTTACTATGTAATGTGGGGAATGATAACCATACAAAACAAAGGTGGATCAATGGTAAAAAATGAGGAGAGAAAAAAAATGATAAAATAAGTAGTTACGAAATCATAACCGTTAATTTATCTTTGTATGGTTGTGATCTTTCCAGATGACCATATTATATTTTTTTGGCACATTGATCCATTTCCGAGTTACTTTGAGTTGCATTGAAACGTTGTCAACCTAAACCAATTTAAAGGCTGGTTAACGCTCCAAACAAACAAATCCAAGAGACGAAATTGTAAACTGGAAATTTTTTAAAAAATTTGTAGGAGCAAAATCAAATTTAAATTTGGAAAAACTTCTTTTTCACCTCTTGTTATTTTATAATTTATCACTTAATCTTTGTGATTTCAAACTTATTACACGATTTTGGCTTACGCCTATCATGTTGAATGTATCATTTAAATCTCTGATGGTCTTTTTTTATATTTATATATATATATATATATATATATATATATATATATATATATATATATATATATATAGAGAGAGAGAGAGAGGAAGGTTATATTGAGAAACTCTTTTTCTTACAAACTTACAAATTACACTAAATCTGACCACTCATACATTCTTAATTGAAGTATGACCAGACTTAGTGTAGTTTGTAAGTTTGTAAGAAAAAAATTTGTCAATATAACTCATCCCTATATATATATATAAGATTGCAAGGGGTTTAAATGATGTACTTTTATAATCACAACGGGTCTAAGTGTTAAATTTTGGAAAAAAAAATCAAATGATATAATGTATAACTACAAGAGGTGAAAAAAAAATTATCCCTTTAAATTATTACTTAATTAATAAGAAAGTTCCTAAAAGGAGTGTGACTTAATGTTTTGTGTGTGCGTGTTTTTTTTTTTTTTTTTTTGTCATAAATGTTTTATATGATGAGAAAATGTTGAAGAATTTGAAAAATAAACCAGTCGGTTGGAAAAAAACAAAAAACGAAATGTTATTTTACCCAATTTTTTTTTTGAAAGGCTCCATTTTACAATAATTTGGTTTGGTTTGGGTGTGGCTGAAGTAAACTTTTTTTAACTTGGTGAACTAAACTTTTAATATTATTGTAATAACTACTTTTCTAGAGAAGTGAGTAAAGTTTTTTGTTTTTAATTTTAATAAATGTTGGACTGAATACTACAACATATGGGTCTAAAAATTTATCTTGTTGCATGACTTTTAATGCATTCAATGGGTATGTTTGATGTGATGTATAAGGTTTGATAGTATAAGCTTATACTATACGTTATGATATTCTTAGTTATTTGATGTGATCATCGTATAGTATAAGTTTATACATCAAAATCCCTTAATACATCAAAATGATATATAACTTAATCAGGTCTAAGGAGATGAGATTAAGCCTGATAAGGGGTTGATGTATTAATATTGCTTACAAGTCAAATTCTCAAGAACCAGTATATCATTTTAATATTAATATATTAAAATAATTTTTAAAATATTGGAAGGTATTATCTTATACAATACCATATCAAGTGCTGAGTAGTATTAAAATTTAATCATGTCTTATCATATACTATGCACTAAACATGCCTTATAGATAAAGAGTCACTGGCATGACTCGAATGTAAAGGAAAAAATTATAAAAAGCATTTAAGAGTAAGTCTAATATTTCAGGTGATCAGTTATTGAAATTGATAAGTGACTATAGTTGTATTAGTGGGGAGAGATTTAAATAATTTGTCCTAAATTTAAAGTTCCATATGGTGTTGTAAAAAAAAAAGAGTTATTGTACGTTAAAGAAAATTTTTTGTTAGTGTAGTGAACATAAAAAAAAAAATCGAAAAATGAAAACCAGGTGGATACTCCCTAAGAGAAGGATGGAATATATTGAAGCTTGGGATCGATTCTGTTCTTAACGTTGAGATGAAAATTTTTTCTTAATTATTTCTGTTACACAATCCTCTATATAGGGCAACATTCAAGCGTAACAGAATATTAAATGAAGTCTCTGGAAACTAATGGATAATGATCGTTTGGGTAATAACTAATAAGCAATAAACCTTCAGTAATCTTTAATTTTGGGCCTTTGATTATCTTCAGATGATAATCTATAAGAATTTTGGCTGGGCCAAAATTCTCCTCGCTTATTGAGTCCCGGTTGGGAAACTTGGGTTGGGTTCGTTGGCCATATCCCTACACTGTCATATTGGCATACAATTTTAAAAAATAATAAATAACTGCATGGCTGCTTAATTATCAATTCATTTTATTTATCATAATAATTACTCTATCAACTATGTATTTTAATTTTTAGAATAAAATTTGTATACTGAGAAGAGACAAACAAAAAAACTAAGTATTGTCATTTATATGTTTATATAAATTAAAGTTTAGAAGTTTAAATAATTTATACCGGCAGTGGTAAAATATAATCAGAAATTATAATTCATTTCTGATTATATTTTAACATCTGATTGTATAATTATATATACATTTGTTTTGATAAATAAAAAATCATTTGAATTTGTAATTTTAGAAAATAAGACTTAAGAAATAATAGACAGGTGAAAAATGTAGAAGGAAGTTTATAGAAGGAATATATACTAAATGGAAATTTAAGAAAATTTAGTGCATCCTTTCTTTTTAACCTAGAAGCTATTTATAAGCATAAGTTAACTCAAATAGATTTTGAGAAAAACTCTTATAATGAAAAGTTCTTTTTTTATAATAAAGAAAAAAAACTTAAAAGTTAAAAGCTCCTAAAAGAATTTTTTTAAAAACTTTTATCAGCTTTTCTTGAATGATGTGTGTTTTTAAAAAAATAAAAAGCTATAGAGATAGAGAAAGTTTTTTGAAATATATGCTTTTAAGCTAAATATTTTATGTAATTATCAAATAATTTTTATTTTTTTTATGTTTTTTTTTTTTAATTTTAACTTATAAATAACTTCTAACTTAAAAAATAAAGGATCCAAACAAATTCATATTACTTTGTATGTCTTAGGTAGTTTATCATAGTAATAGTTTCAGCTTCGGAGGTTATCTTAACAAGAAATTCTCATTATACTAATTGTAGAAGTTCCTTTGTTGGTAGAAAGTTAACTTTTAAAATGCATGGTTTGATATGATAGATGTGGCTTTGAGATTACTCCAACGTTACCCACAATTGGCCAGAGAATCCTTATTATCCGATGAATGCTCAGCCTTACATGCATTGGCCAATATGCCTTCTGCATTCCCAAGTGGGCGCCACCGATCTGAACTACTTCATCAACACTATTACCGTAGTAAGTTGTCACACTTATTCTTTCTCTCGTGTTAATCGGTAGATTTGAAGAAAAAAAAAAACGCAATTTCTTTTAAGAAATAGATGGAATATAATTTTATTCTTTTATCTACATGGGAAAAATATATAACAGACTGATAAGAAAGAACAATAATAAGTACACCAAAAAGAAAGAACAACGATAAATTAATAGAATTTTATATAAATTAAGTAATAAAATAAATGAAGTAAAATTTGATTATCGGTATTAAAGATATAAACAACATGCAATTTGTAGAATCTCCCCTTGATATGTTTCGGTACGTACTTGGATATTGAAGACACTGGCCAGTGCATGTAATCTATTAGAGAAACTATTATAGTCAAAGAAGAAATAAATAATTGATTGAATAACAGAAAGCTCATTAGTCAATTTTCAAAAGGGTGATACATATTTGTGTTATATGTGTTATTAATGTTGGAGTTCAAGTTCGGGATTTTAATGGAGTAGTACTGAATTAAATAATCATTTGTTGATTATCAGGAACCTTGATTAATAATAAATGGTAGATCCCTAGGCTAGCTTAAGACAAGTGATGGGGTATTTTTTAGTTTATGATGACTTGCAAGTTACACGATCTTGGGTTTTGAACTCAAGTTTGTACTTAAAGAGCAAGTGGGAGATTGTTGAGTTTATGCTCTTTTAATTTAGCTCATTTGGGCTAAGTGTATAAGTAGAGATCAAGAAGCCAAAAGCCCAAAGAAATTAGGACTAGGGTTTCTTGGTACCTATATAAATATCACCATTTAAGTCATCAACCTCTTGGTCAGTCAACTGAAAAGGGTAAGCTCAGATCCGAAAAAGTGTCCACACCTTAACTCCTCTCCCCCTTAAAAGATAGTTTGGAAGGTTTACCAGAAGCAATCTTCAACAAGGAGGTTTGTGTTGTGTCGCTGAGGAGGCCAATTTGTGTATAGGAGATTCCGTGGCAGCAGAGGCGAGAAGAAACATTGCACCTACAAAAGGGAGGTTTTTTGTGGGTTTGCTCTATAAGAGGTAATTTTCTATAAAACCAAAACAATGATGATCTAATAAATTCTAAACCTCAAATGGTCTTAGAGCTTTTGCAGATCCAATTATGCCTACACCTTTTTTTCATGCCTACCTTTCCTACTCATCTCCAACACCGTTAAATCATAATCTCAATTAACTTTCGCTCTTTCTCTCTCCTCTTAAGATTATAATCTAATGGTGTTAGTGATGAGTAGGTAGAAAATGCATGAAAAAATAGCTCCACCATGTTACGAAGTAACTGGATCAAACAAAATTGCCTCCCATGAAGGATATAGGTGGTTTATCCAAAAAACAAAATAGGCATTATATCCTATCTCATATTTTTTCATAATTTATACCCTTTTATACAAATTAAATAATAATATAAGTGCATATAATAAATTATATCTAATTAACAATCACCCCATTATCATGTTTTCTTAGTTGATTTTTATTTTCATTTGACTATAATTATATATAAATTTTATGAGTATCATGTTACATGACACAAGATGAGTCATGCCATAGACAAAAACAATCAGGGGTCCCATTGAAAAATAAATAAATAAAATGGACCCCATACCTTTTTAAGTCAGTAGGAAAAACATCTTGTGTCATGTAACATGATACTTCTAAAACTCTTAGGAGGTGTTTGTTAGAGGAAAAAAAAAATTTACAAGGAAAAAAATAATTTCCAGAAATATGATGGGAAACCTTTTTTCCGAATAAGTTACTAAAAGATATTTGATAGGCCAAAATTTTTCCACAACATGGGAAAACTTAATAATGCATGATAGGCCAACCTTGTATTTAGTGCAAAACCAAAAATGCAGCCCTTTTTGCTCATACTCCCAACAGTCTGCAGGAATAATTCATTATCAGGTTGGCCGGTAGATAGCATCATTTCCAATCACCATATCACGTTCATTCCTCCGCTCAAAGAATTTATCCTGAAAATAAATAAATTACACTAGTCATCAATACATGTGGTAATTATATAAACACAGATATTTTTAAAAAGGTGTTCCAATAAAAGGTAGCAACATATCTATATCTTTCTGCCAACATAGCTATGCAAATTACCAAGTAATATCATGCATTAAACCAAAAATTACAAATGAACGTGTTTAGGTTGCTTTCAAGGTAGCAACTAAACGAACATAATCAAGTTATCAACATCACTTAATGAACCTTACAAAGATTACAAGTAAGAAACCAAATTTGCTTTATAAGGCAAAATTTAATCATATCATAATTTTAAGTAGACACACATTTAATACTATTATCAAGTATACTAAAGGTGACTAAAGTCAACAATGTCCATAACTTTATAAGTAATAGAAAGAAAATTACAACAACTTCCTTTGATCTCTGGGAAGTCCACGAACCGTACTTTTTTTTCAATTTTCTTTTTGCATATAATCTTGTATTTGATCTTCTTAAAAAATATGAATTAATCATGAATCTTTTTGAGGTAAAGTTTTATCTTTCCACAGCTGCATTTGATCGATTTAATCTGTATTTAGAATTCCCGGTGAGCTCAAGTATACTAATATATAATTCTTCTTCTTTTTTGGAAAATACTAATACATACTTCTGTACAGTTATAAACGTAGAAAGGAAATTTCAAGACGAATACGGGGTTGCCGATATTATGAATATCGTGCCATTTGTAATCGATGAAGGACGGCAAAAGACTTCTTCCGCAGGTGTGTACATATTACACTCTTTCTCTAACAAAGCAAATGGTCGATCTTACTATTTCCTTCAGGCAGGACTATTAACTATTTAGTTAAATAATAAATCCTTTAGGTGAAATTTCTTCAATAACTTGTTTTATATAAGGAATGTGTTATTTTACACAACAGATGTAAGGCTGATTCGATGAACGTCTAACGAATTTTTTTTTTTTTTTTTGGAAAAGTTAAAAAAAAAAACCTCCTATATTTTTGTTTTAAATCATTTATTCCCTTGTGCATTTTTTTATTCACTTACTCCTCTATAGTTTTTTTTAAAACTTAACTAATCTACCTATTTTATCCTTTTTTTAAAATTGATGACAAAAACATAAAAACTAGAAAAAAAATAAAAGTAAATATGTTGAAAACTTATAACATTTACAGAAAAGATTAAAAGAAAAAAAAGTAAAAATAGAATAAAAAAAGATCAAATATGTCTAAATAAAAAAAGAAAATAAATTAAGGACAAAAAATAGAAGAAAAAATAAGCCCAAATATATTGAAAACTTACAATAATGATAGAAATGACTAAATTTAAAAAAAATGAGAGAAGATCGAAGACAAAAATGAAAAAGAAGAAAAAATAAGGCAGAAAGTAAAAAGAAAAAGAAATAAAAAAGACATCACTATTATAAGTTTTCAACATATTTAACTTTAGTTTTTCTTTGGTGAATGTTCTTGTTCATCATCCTTTTAATTCAACATAATAAATTCAATGGGATATAAGATATAGGTAATAAAGACTATTTAAACAATATATTAGAACAAACAAGAGGAAGATGAACTTCGAAATGTAACTAAGGAATCAATTCCTTTTTCAAACCATGTTTTAACCAAACAACTAACAATAATGGAATTCCTTTTTAAATTCGGAACAAATAAACAGTCACCCAAAATCAAAATTATTTAAATAACTTGTCTTACTACTAATGCAAAAACAAGTTTCTCATTTTTAAGCTTAAAATTTATTTGTCCACTGCTGACAGGCATGCCATGTTTGAACTACTACAAAGAGTAGCAAACATAATCAATGGTTCCTGAATCAATGATTCATCCACTCACCAAGCCTTAATTTACCTCTGTCTGGTTCTTTTAATCACCTTTGGGCAATTTTTCTTTCAGTGTCCCTTTAGTTCGCACTTTCCTTGCCGCTTCTTCATAGCAACTGGTTTGACAACTAATAGCTAAGTCATTTTGTTCTTTGGATTTAACAAGACATTTAGCAAAACTTATACTGACCGCATTTTATCTAACAGAGCTGCTAGAAGCAGTAAACATGTCATTAAGAGTCTGAAGCATCCCTGCTCCACTCTTAACCATGTACACTTGCTTCTGCAAGTGTTTAGAAATACAGACAAGATCATAAAAGCGAACTACCATATCTGCATTTTCCTTATCTAAGTATTGCGTCTTAGATTTCTTAGATGGGCCCTCTACAGGTGGCCATGGCTTAGGTATGGTAAGGACAAACCATGAACATCGAGGTTTGTTTTCCATTTAATCAAAGTTGGTACAATCTAGAGGTTTTTCACTCAAAATCAATTCTAAAGGATTAAAGGAAGTCATTTCCGGAAAAACATACAAGACATGTAATTACAAACAAATAATGCAATAAACAAACAAAGTACAAGTAGATTCTTATAACTACTCTTGTTTATTGTTAACAATCCTTTATTATTCTTTACAAAGCTTATGTTGGGCAAGTCACTTATAAAAACTAAAATTGTTATTTGGGCCTTCGGTGCCATTACCAAAGCCTCAGGTTAATAACTTTACCAAAGTTAAATGTAATTAAGAATTGTTAAATTTCAAAATTATCCTTAATATCCAAGCATTGTCGACGTTGGGTTGTACAATACTTTACTAAAATTTTGAAATTATTAAGATTTAATCAAATAAAATCCGGTCATGTTTATCCTTTGGGGCTTCACATGACCATTTTACAATACTTTGTTGAATGTAAAATTTATTGTTTTAATTTTAAAATTGTCTTTAATAACTTAGTATTGTCAAATAATGGGTCGTACAATACTTTATTGAAATTATGAAATTATTAAGTGCCAATAAAATCCAATATGTTTATTCGAAGGGACTTCATATGATTATTTTATTATCAGGTCCACAATGCGTCTGGAGGTTAAATTAATTTCTTAATTTAAATCTCCTCCCATTATTATATAGGTCCAATCTAATAAAATCCAATCATGTTTATCCGGTGGGGCATCACATAACTATTTTATTAATGGTCCTATAGTGCGTCTGGA